CGGCCAGATTGGCAACAACGACTCGGCGGACGACATGCTCAACGTCGACCTGACCAAGATCCACTACCTCAGCGGTCCGTTCGAGGTCGAGGACGCTCAGCCGGGGGACCTGCTCCTGGTGGAGATTATGGACGTTCAGCCGTTCGAGGACCAGCCTTGGGGCTTTACGGGTGTATTTGATAAGAATAACGGCGGTGGGTTTTTGGATGAATTGTATCCTACGGCGTAAGTTGTTTCATTGTCACATCACGTCACTCACTCTCACTCTCACCGACAACACTTATGTATCATGCAAAATGAACGCAATCCTCACCCTTCTCATCCTCTCTCACCGAAAAACAACCCATATTAACACTGTGAACGCAAACAGGGCAAAGGCAATCTGGGACTTTGAAGGAATCTACTGTACCTCGAGACACATCCCGGGAGTAAAATTCGCCGGGCTCATCCACCCGGGCATCTTGGGGTGCGCCCCGTCCGCCGAGGTCCTCGACACCTGGAACGCGCGCGAGGGCGAGCTCATCGCGGCCAACAAGCTCGACCGCGACGTCGCGAAGCCGCCGGAGCCGATCAACGTGCACGCCGGCGCGGCGAACGCGGAGCTCAAGGAGAAGGTTGGTAAGGAGGGGGCCAGGACGATTCCTGGGCGGCCTGAGCATGGCGGGAACTGCGAGTGAGTTTTTGAGCATCCTCTTTACTTCTTTCTGCCCTTAGGAGATTTCGACGAGGAAATCTGGAGGGTGATAGACTCTGGGATGATGGGAAACGAGAGTCACTGACGTTGAGGGGAATAGTATCAAGAACCTGAGCAGAGGAAGTAAAGTCTACCTACCCGTCCACGTCCCCGGCGCCAAATTCAGCGTCGGCGACCTACACTTCTCTCGTAAGTTTCCAACTAAACCAACTGTGCTTCCCTCTCTCGCTCTCTCTCTCTCTCACACACACACATATGACCATGTATCAGTATCATCAGGTAGCTTACTAACCATTTCCCAGAGGGCGACGGAGAAATCTCCTTTTGCGGCGCCATCGAGATGGCGGGCGTCATCACGATAAACTTCAAAGTCATCAAGAACGGCGTCGCCGACCTGGACCTCAAGTCGCCCATTTACATTCCCGGCCCCGTCGAGCCGCAGTTTGGTCCCGGGCGGCACATTTACTTTGAGGGGTTCTCGGTCGACCAGCACGGGAAGCAGCATTACATGGATGTTACCGTCGCCTATCGTCAGACGTGTCTTCGTACGTTTCCTCCTCCCTCTCTCTTCTGTTCTTTTCCTTCTCCTGCATGTTTTCTTCGCTGCTTCCTTGAATGTTGCGAATGGACAATTGATGACTACGATGTTTGCTAACGCAAACAACATAAAGGCGTCATCGAATACCTCCGCCGTTTCGGCTACAGCGACTACCAAGTCTACCTCCTCATGTCGTGCGCGCCCATCCAGGGTCACGTCGCGGGCATTGTCGACATACCCAACGCGTGCACGACCATTGGCCTGCCGATGGACATTTTCGACTTTGACATCTCGCCGGGCGCGGGTAAAGTCGAGAAGCGGGACCTGGGCAGCTGCGCTTTCGCGACGGGTGTGAAGGAGGGAACTGTTACCAAGGGCGGGGCGAATAGTCAGCATAGCTATGGTGGTGGGTTGACGTATAAGGAGTGAAGAATGAGACTCGGTTTGTGGAAGGTTTGCTGAGTGTGAGATGAGAGGTCTCCTTTGAGATGGAAGTTTTGTGCGGAGTTTCCCCCTTTCCCTTCACTTTTGTCTTGCCCCGTGTCATCGCGAGCGATTGGATCAGAGTTGCGAGGTCAAGTTTGATTGAAGTCGAATGAGGCTGGGTAAGCGTAGTCACGAGATATTGTAGTCGTCGAATCTTTATGTGAATTTCACTTATGAAATGCCAAACTCATCATAAAGCCGTGAGACTTCACTTCCCAATGAGAATCTCTCGATTTGAGAAACAAGCCAAACTCCCCGAGTCATCGATTCCCGTTCCTCATGTGATCCATACCTAACAACTCCGCCCCGCCATGCATTTATCAATAGGCTCTCTTGTCTCTATTCGTCAAAAGTCCGGAATCTCAGTCATCGCAGTGTGTCCCGTCGCGCCCGTATGAATCCTAGCCTCGGCCGTGCCGCTGCCCAACCACTCACATCCAGGAGCATCGCACTTGCGCAGCGCATTATCGCCAAAGGCACCGCCAGCACCAGCAGAAGCACCAGCACCACCACCGCCGCCCGCAGGTTCGTCCTTGATCTCGCTGAAGCCCATATGCCCCGTCGCCTTGGCGTGCTTGTTGGCCTCCCTCTGCCCGTTGCCAAGCCAGTCGCACCCGGCCACGGTACACCGCAGCAAGAACTCGGTGGTATCCGTAAAGTAGTGCATCTCGTGCAACTTTCGAATCAGCGCGCGCGTGCGGTCGAGAACCTCGTCGTCGGCGGTGCTCCAGTTGGTCCTGTCGAGTTCCGGAGGCAGGTCCGAGTGCGCGTAATGCGGCGGCTCCGAGGGGCTGCAGGCGATGCGGTCGTAGTGGATGCCCGAGTAGACGAGGATGCAGCGCGATTCCTTGTTCTCGCCGAAGCGCAGCGGGTTCTGGGATTTGACGTCGAACGCGACGACCTCGAGGTCGAAGAGGTCCGAGAAGATGCCGAGCTCGATGGCGCCGCCCCAGCGCTCCGGGTCCTGGATTGTGCGGATGTACTTTTCGACGGGCATGTCGAGGACGGCCTCGGGGTAGTCGTCTGGGTGTTGGCGGATGTAGTCTGCTACCATTTTGCGGAGCTCTTTGGCTTCCATTTGTTTGCCTGGGATGGCGCCGCCAAAGGCGGTGAAGAGGCAGCTGTTGTCGTCGGGCATCACGCGAAGGACTTGGGATATGGTGTCAGATGGGAAGGAGTTTGGGGATTGGGGGTGAAAGGGGCAGCTTGGTACTCACGTAATGTCGACTCACGCTCCGGCCACGGGATGCTGATGTCCGAAGGGGACGGGTCGGCATCGGGATCGAGGCGGGGCTTCTTGGACGTCTCCAGGCCTCGAGATGCAGGGGCGGCGGCGGCGGGCGGAGGTGAGATTGCGCGATGGTGGGCCGGCTCGATGCTGAAGGACTGGCCGTTGAGGCCGAGGTCTTTGGCGTTGACGTCCTTGTGCTCGAGGGTCAGGGTCTGAAGGGGCCAGCCGTACTTGAGGGTGAACTCGGCGATGCCCGTCTTGTCCTTGATCTCGTTGAATAGGTCTCCGACTGTTGCTGTGTCCTCGAGGGAGACGACGCCTGTGCCTCCCGGGCCCTTGTACCTGGCTCTCATTGTGAGTATCGATGCGGACGTGCTTTGCTTTGCTGAAGGGATCTGTAGGATGATGAGTATGCGGGCCAAAGTCAAGATAGCAAGCTGAGATAGGTGTTTGATGGTGCAATGACGCACAGGCTTCAGAATGAGATGGAGTAGCGACTGACGGTAGACGATCTTGGCCGGGGACGGATCCGGACGGGCAACCGATGGTAACCAAGCTCTTGATGGCGGGGTTCGAACGGAGGGGTTTATCTTATCGCAGAGTACCAACGGCGGGTTCTCACTCTGGAGACCCGAGTGCCAAGGAATCTGGACGTGAGACGTAGATAATAAGGATGCGCGTTGAGTTGGGTCGCTTGGACTCAAGTTTCGATCCTGACTAGCTTCGTAGAGTCTTCTGGCGTGAGAGACACTAGGGCGAGATTCCTCGGTGAAGGAGGCGGGAAGGATGCTTCTGCAGCTATGCCGGATCCAAAACGATGGAGTTGACTTGCAGAGGTGGCACCGCAAGGTTAAGGTAAGGTATGGGTAGAACAGCTACTGTCGAGGGTTCGGATGCACTAGAAGCTTCTCCGCTTATGAAGTAGCTCTAGAAAGCTGCTTTGAACAGGTCGTGTGATGTTTGGACCGTGGGAAGACGTGGAAAACCGAGACTGAGCGTTTTGACAGCTGGAGCGTAGCTATTTCAACCTAAGCACCCAAGATGGGCTAGGTCAGACCGAGCCTCTGGACCACTCTGGTAGGGCAGCGGCTTTGTCCGACTCGAGAACTTAGAGGATGACGGCGTCCACGGTTCCGGGTGCTGGGATTGGAGGTTTGTGCTTGTCTTTGATTGTTTCCGAGTGGAGAACTACTCCAATAAACGCTGCTGCAGCGACAATGACTTCATGGTTCCACGTTGCAATCGCCCACTTTGTCTTTCCTCCACCGAGTGCTTATAGAGTTGGTAGCTAAGCAGCGTTGTCAACATGTTGCGAGCTATGAGGAGCGTGGATGTAGAGCTGGAGATAGCTGTCTCCAAAACCATGGGACAGGCATTAGGTGTCCCGCAGAGAACGGAGATATAGGATATCATGGTGCCAGATCAGAGACAGAGAGGCCCATTTAGGGAACGAACTCATAACACTGTTTCTGAGGCTTTGAGGAATAAGAGCTCAAGGAAAAGCCTTGGTCAACTTACCAATGACTCTTTCCTTTAGTTCTCTCTCAACTCACTCTGAGAAAAGAAGAAGCTATTCAAAGAGACGAGAGGAAGGTACAAAAGATGGCACCATCAAGTTCCTTCTCACCCGTTGAGAAGCTCAAGGTACATCTTGAGGTACAAAGGAAGCCATTGATCTAAGTCTCATCCAATTGCCCGCCGCCAATGTTCCAGTTAGCCGAGGTGGAGCCGGAAGATGCCACGGCCTGCCCCGGGCTGGTTCCTTGCTAACATCCCCTCACAGCACCGCTTGTACCCGTAAGACCCCGGCCAGCTCCCGCCTCACTGCTTTCGCAAACCTTCAATTCCTCAGCTCCCCCCAAAGAAACGTAGTAACTTGTAGAATCCCACCTTTGCGACGGAAGCCCTCGACCCCCTCTCCTACTCGACCTTGCCAATCAAGAGGGTCCAGAGTCTCGCTTGAATCCTTGTGTCTTCAATTGTCACCAGAGAGAAAAGGATTCCTTAAGCTGCCCTCGTTCTGCGATTCCCCAAAGAGGTTGGACGAAACTATGGCGACGCGCAGCGACGCGCCCGAAGTGCGCGAGTCTATCGAGGCCAAGGTCACCAAAGATGTCGAAATGACCGACGCACCCGACGCCAGCACCGCCGAAGCCAAGCAACCCGAATCGACTGTCTCTGCGAAACCGGCTGAATCCGAAAAAATGGACATTGACGCTGGTGCGAATGCCGACGCCGACGCCGATGCCGACGCAGACGCGGACGGTGAAGCGGATGCAGATGGCGACATTGACGTAGATGCAGACGCAGACGCAGACGCGGACGGTGAAGTTGACGCAGACGCTGATGCAGATGGAGATCCAGATGATGGTGTCGCATCCCCCGTGGAATCCGAGCCTGGCGACCTTTTGGATGTCATCCAAACCATCAGCTCAACCGTGAGCAACTACAAGGATGAAGAGTACGTTCGGATCAGGCGCACCCTTTGCCTATCTTGCTGCTAATTCGTTGTCATCGCAGCGGTGAATGGTGGGCGGCTAGTTTCCAGCGCATCCCGAACAAACGTCAACTGCCAGATTACTTCGAGATTATCGAGAACCCCATCGCCTTCAGCACCATTCGCGTATGTCCCGCCCATTCGTAGAGCCTTGTTGGCACGACACAGAACTGACCCCGAGTAGCACAAGATCCAAAAGAAGCTGTACACCGATTTCCCCGAGTTTGTTCGCGATCTTGCACAGATTTGTCACAATGCGCAGGTGTATAATCGGCCTTCCTCGGCCATCTTTAAGAGTGCCACCGTCATCCGAGATCTTTTCAAGAAGGAGTTGCAGAAACTCGTTGCCAAAGGCACGATCAAGTCTGAAGAGGCAGAGCTTCCCGATTTGGGCGAGCTCCCGCCCGCAGAAGACTCGTCGCCAGAGGCCGAATCCGAAGAGGACGAAGGAGAAGAGGAGGAGGAGGAAGAGGAAGAGGAGGAAGACGACGAGTCCGACGATGACGGAAAACGCCGACGAAGCAGGAGGCGTGGCCGAACTTCGCTCACCAAGCGCCAGCTTGAGGAGGCCCGGGAGGAAGACGAACATAAGAAGCGCGGCCGCCCTCCCAAAGTCTTGACACCGCTCGAGGCGCGTATTCACAACGTCATCAAGGGCCTGCGCAAGTTCCAGTCAGACGACGGTGACTTGCTCATTGGTCCCTTTGAGAAGCTGCCCGATAAGCTTGCGAACCCGGACTATTACCAAGTCATCACCAACCCTATTGCGCTCGACAACATCAAGAGAAATGCCAAGAGGAAGAAATACTCGACTGTCGACGATGCGCTCAAGGATATCGACCTCATGTTCAACAACGCAAAGGAGTACAACGAGGAGGCCAGTGACATTTACGAAGCCGCTGTCGAGCTGCAGAGGCAAGCACGTGAGCTGGTCGCGCAGGAAAAGTCGAGGCCAGACGATGAATTCCGTGACGAGGATGGCAAACTGCCACTGTCGGAAATTCAGCACAACGGCCAAGCATGGCGAGTGGGTAAGTTCTGTTCCCGGTCCCTAGGCTATTCGAAGAGGATGAGTCGGGGTGCTAATATTGTGTAGGCGACTGGGTGCATATTCGTAATGTCAACGACATGGCCAAACCCATTGTCGCGCAAATATTCCGAACTTGGCAAGACCGAGCTGGACAGCGATGGATCAACGCTTGCTGGTACTACCGTCCCGAGCAGACGGTGCACAGGTTCGAGAAGCACTTTTTCGAGAACGAGGTGGCAAAGACGGGCCAGTATCGCGACCACCAGATCGAAGAGGTGCTCGACCGATGCTTCGTCATGTTCGTTACGCGGTTCAATAAAGGACGGCCGCGTACTCTGCCGGCGGATAAGGAGGTGTACGTGTGCGAGTCTCGGTACAACGAGGCGACTTGTAAATTCAACAAGATCAAGACGTGGACGAGCTGCGTGCCTGACGAAGTCCGGGAGAAGGATTACGAGATGAAGCTGTTTGATCAGCCGCGACGGCTCAAGAAGGTGCCCAGCCCGATCAAACACCTCTTGCAGGCGGATGCGAAGGAAACGGATGAGCTCCCGAAACCGACCTGGGGGGCAGCAAACGCACCGCCCATTATTGGTGCCGTGCATCGGCGCCCTCGAGAATCAAACGTGAGTCTGGATGTGATTCATTCTGTTTTCCCTGCTGTTATTCCTTTCGTTTGGTCTATTAGAGCGGCCCTGGGCCGGACGGGTGTGGTGCAGGAATACGGTACACACGACCTGCACGAATACCACACATACAGCCTTACCGTGCCGCCTCCTGGATGAAGGAGGTGGACAATTGCCAACCCTCCAACACACCAGCACCAGCACCAGTACACCCTCTCGTCGTCCCTCTCGGTTATGCAGTGCAGGCTGATAAAGGGAGCGACGCGTGTGGGTGGGATAACAACACCCTGCATCCCGTATCAGACGTACCTCGCAGCAGAAATTTGTGCCTTCACCTCTTACTTCACTCCTGCCCTCACTCTTGATCTCATTCTCATTCTCATTCTCATTCTCATTCTCATTCTCATTCTCATTCTCACCCTCACCCTTCACCTTTGCTCTGCAAATTTCAAACTCAGCCTCACTTTCACTCTTTTTATTGCGCGTTAGTTTATTTTTCCATCTCTCACAACCTGTCTTTCGGGCTTTCACTTGGTCATCATTTGGTTTTCTCCGTTACTGACAAAATTGACTTTGATCGAACAGGAGTCTCCTCCACCTGAGCCCACGCCTTCTCCGCCGCCCATGAGCCAAGAGCCTGCGCGACGGCCTTCAGTTCTCCAGGCGATGCGCCAGACGCCGAGCGACATGTCGATGGGTAATCCTCCCACGCCTTATGGGCACGGAATGGGAGCTGCGCCGTCTCCGTCGCCAGCAATGTATGCTCAGCAGTACACGCCTCAGCATGCTTCGGCATCGCCAGTCGCGGTGAACCATCAAACGCCGGTGCCTCTACCCCAACTTCCTCACCAGGCGTCTCACTCTCCGCAGCAGCCCATCCGCCCCATGTACCAGCAGCAGGGATTTGCGCCAAGCCCGTTCCAGCATCAGCAGCACCCACAGCACCATCAGCAGCAGCAACAGCACCATCCCCACCACGCACCACAGCACATGCACCCTCAGCAGCAGCACCACCACCAAGGCCCGCCCCCTCCAGCACCTCAGTTCCAGCAGCACCACCTCCCGCCGCACCAACAGCAACAGCACCAGCACCATCAGGCCCAAGCGCCGCCGGTCCCACAGCAGCACCACCACCAGCAACAGCACGGCCACCACCAATTGCATCCACAAATGATGCCAGCAAATCCCATGGGCGGCCCGACCTACAACCATCATCAAATGCAGCCTCATCCCGCTGCAGCCCGCACCCCCATGGCCAACACGCCCAATGCCATGCAGCCCGCCAATGCCTACAACCCTCCTAGGCCTCCCGAGGTTTTTACCCTGGCCGAATCCCTCAACGACCAGATCCCCGAAGAGGTGCGCAGCCAGTACAACAGGGACGAGAACGGCAGAATCTTTTTCTACTCCACACCGCCCATCGCCCGCCCCGAACACGGCCTCGCCCCAGACAATGCCAACTCGGGCCACAGCCTCGCCTACCTTGCTAAGAGCAACCCGCAATGGCTGGCCGAACGCGCCTCCCGCGCAAAGCCCTTTGCCGTCGCCAAGCAGAAGGAGTTGAAGGTCAAGATGGCCCTCGACAAGGTCACCGAACCCGCCAAGGGCAAGACGGGTGACGAGCTTCGCGACTGGGCCGCCGACTCCCTGGTCCGCTACGTCGAGGCGCACGCCCAGGAGACGTCGCGCATGCGCGAAGAGGGCGATCTGGACGGCCACGACCGCCTCATGAAGGAGCAGCGCGCCGCGCGCCGCAAGAAGACGAGAAAGGAGCTGGAAGAGGAGGAGGAGCGAGCCGACGAGGCGAAGCGTGCCAATTACCTCGAGGACATTTACTTTGTCCACTCCAGTCTGCGCACGCCCAAGCCTGCTCACTGATCGAAGCATCAAGCAATTCAATGTGTATTCTAGTCGACACCATCCCTGCTTCTCTCTGTCCCTTGGATGCAAGCTTGTAATTGACGGGCCTTGGGTAAGGCAGGGAGGATTCGATCTCCTGGGTAGAAAGGGAGCGGAGTTTTTTTCGGCGGGTCGGACTGCTGTGATACCTATTGGCTTTTTGGAGTTTTGAGGGGAAAACGAAATGGCTCACTGTATCAAAAAGATTATCATCGTCAGGGCATCATGAGACGATATTCATGATGCCTGTTCAAGTACCTAATTTGCACAATTGAGATGAACAGTATTCAGAGATCCCGTTGTTTTCAGGTGTGTTTCACCATCATTCCCCTTGATGGATTTCATGCCTACACAGGAACTGTTGATGAATGGTCTCATTCCATGATGACTTGTTGTCTATTTATGAGTAGTGATCCAAGTGCGTTCTGCCATGATTCAATCCGAGTACCTAGGTAGCTGATACCAAATCATACTGAATCCATCAGCGATACGCCGAACCACACATTTTGGTAATCTTCATCACCATGCACCCTCCAACCCCGAAGCCTTTGAAGGGAGTAAGACATCTTAAAATGAACAAGACAAAGGCTGATCTGGTAGACCAAGCTCTGTGAATGGCTGGCGGGCTGTACCTGCGCCGTCGAGACAGCGGCCCGGCCGAGTTCCTCCGGCTACTTACTGTACGCAGTCACGGCAGGATGGAAACCTTCTACGCTTCTTTGGCAGTTTTTTGCCTCAGAACCCTTGCCCCATATTAAACACGTCTTTGCACCAATCACACGCAATGAGACGCAAGCTCTCCAGTGCATCGAACCCGACTGGCCAGAGCTGGACCCGACCAGGGGGTACTAGCGTAGATCTGATTCGCCCCCCCAAAGTCATGTGCCGGGTTGTGTGACTCTACCGCTGAATCTTGAGCGACTTGCTTAGCATTTAGATGTTCTATTTCTGATGATATCTCAGTATGAAAACTCATCAATCAGACTAAATGAGAGGCATTAATCTCTGTAGTATTGTCAATACTCTCATAATGTTTTAAAACTCAGAAAAGACGTGAAATTGAGACTCTGCTCCTCGATATATGAGTCTCGACTGTTAGTAATGGATAAAGTACCCAGTCCCGCCCATCCAACCCGAGCGGACGTTTGTGCCCGTGTGCCGCCCACTTTACACCCTGAGCCACCAGAGATCGGACCCTTTCCTTTGGGCGAACCGATTCGCGTGGTGAGGGGCAAATGCAGCGCAGCACGCTAATTGAGCCTCGCTCTGCCCAAAGGCGGCTAGGATTGAATGATTCGCTGACGTTCTCGATTCTTAGTTCCGACTACATCTCTCTCACCTCTCCTTACTCTTACTCATAACCGCCTTTGCGCCTTCTTACTTTCGACTTCACCTCTCACCTCTCATTTCTCTCTCAAACCGCGAGTTCACAAACTTCATCACCCTCTAAACCCCGAGGAAACCGACACACACGCCCGCATCCGATTCGCCGTATTGCTCATCCGCCCAACCCACTTTCCTCTTTACCGTTCGTCTATCCGGGTTTAGCTGATTAAAGCATTCCGTTTGTGGCGAGTTCATCCATCAAGTCTTGAACCGTTCTTGTCGTCGGACCGAGGACCTTTTGAATTTCGTTTTCACAAACTCTTTGCTTTCTCTTTCTTTTTACCTTGTTGTGCTTGTACTCTGTCATCTTAGTTCGAGCCATCCGCGAATTTCCCGGTGTTTATTCTGCATAGCCCCGTCCTTGTTCTTCTTGGGTGGCGTCGGCGTTCCGTGCGAATAGTAGGAGGACTTTTACGACTTGACGGCTCCGATACATCCACGGCTGTGTTGGCTGTTTCCCCTGAACCTCGCTTTCGGTTACTCTTCTGGTTGGGGTACCTGGTCACGTCGGGTTCTTCATTGGGTGTCAGTTGAAGGGTCCAAGCCGAAATCGACTCGAGGCTATCGACAACAAAGCATCGTTACTATTCGACACAACGACCGGCTTATTTTCTCTCTGCAATTTCAGCAACCTGGGAACCATAGCAACCCGGCCGCCCAAGATCTGCGGCAGCCTCCAAACCTCGAAATCAAGAGTGTACTCGGGCCAGCCAGGCCAGTACCAAAGACTAAGTCGACAACTGGGTCGCCACATACCTATCATCAGATCGAAACTATTCTCCGTCCTTCTCTCCTCAACCTGTTCGGTCAACATATACGGCTCCTCGAAACTCTGAAGCCAAGGTTGAGCCAGATACCTGAGGCTCTTATCGTGAGCTGTGGTTAGAGAGAACCCGGTCTGGTTCTCGATCAACACTTACCGCCAGCTTAAGGTGGTCGTTCAGGGCAGAGTTTGCTATCTCCGATGAGTGTCACGGTTTTCACGGTTGATTCCGCACTCGCCAAACCCAATTGCCTCCCGTCACGGCCCAGGAGCTTGGTCATAACATCCAACCTTGATCCTCTTTTTGGGATTCCTAGAGGGTTCCCGGTACCTTGACTATCACCAAGGGCTTCCAAGAAGGTTCCCGGCACCTTGACTATCACGAACATACTTCGAGTATCATTCGGATACAGATAACTTGCTCAGAGACACCACAAGGGTTCCCGTCGTCGTCTTCATCTCTAGCACTATAAGATGGACTCCCCAATCCCTTCTCTGCAGTCCTCGGACCTAGCAGGAACATCTCACTCATCTTCTTCATCTCCTACACAACCACCTACTTCCCTAGGAGATTTTAGCAAGCTGTTTGAGAATCTGCGAGTTCACGAGACTTCTACCTCATCTACACGTATTCTCTCTTCGCCAGACAGAGTCTACTCTTCTTCTTTACATTGCTTTGAGCCTCTTTGCAAGTCAGAGAGTCCCTCAAGCAAACAGTCTCAGCCACTTCTTCTCCTCCCTCTCATATTCACCACAGAAGAAATGGCCAGAACTGGCACCAAGCGGAACTACCAGTCCTTGGACTTGGCCGAGGTCAAAAGGCCAAAGGTCGAGCCCAAGGACAAGAAGCCTGCCGTCGCTGCCGCTGCCGCCGCCATCGCTGTCGGAATGGTAGCTCGGGCCTCTTCAGACTCGGGCTACCATTCCGACTCGTCCGCCGCCGCCGCCGCCGACAACGACAACGCGGGAGAAAGGCTCTTCAACAAGCAGACCGCCAAGAGACCTCCTCCCAGCTCCCAGCTCCCCTTGGCCGCCCGTCTGCAGCAGCGCTTCGGCGCTCGCGACGAGTCCTTGGCCCTGGCTTACCCGGAGCAATGCGCCCGCGGTCTCTACATCTACGCCGACGGCTCCAACATCTCCGTGTCCTTCTTCAACGACCTGAAGAAGCGCATGGGCATGTCCAGGGACCAGCGCCTCTCAACCTCCGCCTTCTCCTTCCACGCATTCAGGGGAATACTCGAACGAGGCAGAGAGGTCAAGGAGGGCGTGATCGTCGGCTCCCGTAATAACAAGGCCGGCAACAACAGGTCCTCCTCCTCCCCTTCCTCCGTCCCCCTGTACCTGCAGGAGGCCGAGGCGTGTGATTACACCGCCAAGGTCCTCCAGCGGGTACCCGCAGACAACTCCTCGTCTGCGGGCTCCTTCGCGATGAAGGAGCAGGGGGTCGACGAGACGGTCCAGCACCACATGCGCAAGGCCGTCCTCGACAACCTCGGTGCCCCCGGCGTCATGATCCTCGCTACGGGCGACGGCAACCTCGACGGCGACATGGAGGGAGGCTTCCCCGCCGCCGTGCAGTCCGCCCTCGCCAACGGCTGGGTCGTCGAGGTCTACCACTTCGCCGAGTCCGCCCACTCCACCTGGCGCGATCCGCGGTTCCTCCACAACCCGGAATGGGACGGCCGCCTCACATGTCACGCGCTCGACGACTTCGTCTTTGACATGGATGCCAAGCAACAGCCGGTCACTCCGCTCGGAGCTGAGGTGCCTCGCACAGCCAAGAGCACCAGACGCGAGAGCCGGCCGGCTTACGTGCCGTCTTGGACCCTGCCACCTACTCAGAAGGCAGCCCCCGTCTCTCTCCCTCCGGCAGCGGCAGCAGCGGCAGCAGTCACTCCCCCGCCAAGTCCCCCCTTGGAGATGGCACCCGCGACTCCAGGGGAGATGGCCCAGGCCGGACAGATAGCCGAGTTGGTGGGCAAGCTGAAGCCGGAGTTGATACCCGTCATCGCCGCCTCCCTCCTCCGCGCCGCCTCGGCCACTCCTCCTGCTACTCATGCTTCCGCCCCTGCTCCCGCGCGTATTCCTTCCGCATCATGCGGGGACGTTAGTGGCTTCGCCGGCGGTGCGATGGGCTACTTCGGAGCCCAGGTCCCCTCTCCGCCCGCCCTCTCCGCCTTCCCCCAGACCTACCCCCTCCAGTACCCCCAAGCCACCTCCTACACGGCGGCCTTGGGCCAGTACCAGTACAACGGGGTCTGGGGGAACCAGGTGGGCTACTACGGGTACACCGGCTGAGTCAATGCGACCAGCCTTTTTTTAAATCCTCTTCTCTTCTCTTCCCTTCTTCGGACCCCTTCTCTGTCGTCTTTGCTCTGCGCTTGCTCAGCCGAAAGGCAGCAACCAGATAGATTTCACAGCTTAGGGAAAGGGGAAGGGCAAGACCGGTATATGGGAGGGGTTCGCAGGCCTGAAAGACGGCTCTGGCCCCGTGGATATTTGGGATGGTATACGGGAGGGGTACGCAGGCCTGAAAGACGGTTCTGGCCCCGAGGATTCTTTGGGTCGCCTTCGGGCACATTCTTTTGGCCTTCGGGCAGGCCTTCGGGCAACTTAACTTAGGTATATGGGAGGGGTAGCAGGTCTGAAAGACGGCCTGGCCCCGGGGATTCATGGGATTGGTATATGAGAGGGGGACAGGTGCCTGAAATATGGCGCCTGTTCCCCGTGGATTTGGGGAGGGGAAAGTGGGTAGGTGGGAGTTTTTTTGAACGCGATACTTTTTTTGAGTATGACGTTTTTCTCCCGGTGCTGGTGAGCATAAAATGCGCTGGCGGGCATAAGATGCCTTTCTTTGAGCTTTGTTTCGTAAATACATTTTGTTCGTTGATACTTTTGTGTTCCGTGTTTCTCCGTGATTGCCTGTTTGCCAGATCATTTGATATACGAAGCGTGACATTAAATGCTTCTGTTGTCTCGAGGTTGAATCAAGGTAGACTTCTTGGGCTTGACTATGCTCTCCCTACATCACATGTCCCTTGGATTTGTATCAAAGTCTTGTACCGTCTCAGAGAGGACTCTCTAATCCTACTAGACCAACGCCGAGTGCTGAAACGTCTCGTGACATTAGCACGCCGTCGACAACGAAGGCGAACTCAAGACAACATCCGTATAGCCAGGAAAGCATACCTCTTATGCCAACAAGGGCGAGGCGAAGGTTGACAGCGATAGGAGCGGCCCCAAAGCTCAGACTTCAGCTCAGACCAACCTGCGAATCAGCATAATACCCTCATATCAAAGTTCGTGGAGATTGTCCGCGACAGTACCACGGGGCCATCATCTATTCCGTCCAAAAAAGAGGCCCGTATTGAGGCTGTTACCAGATAGGTGTTTTTTGGATCGATTTATGAGTCTTTGTTTCCCTTTGTAAACGTGATTCGTTTGGGCAACGCTAGTTGGTAGAGTCTGCTAGCCCTTAATGGGTTTCAACATCCATAAGCCCTCGATTGAGGTTTGCTATTATACGAACCAAGATGAATCCAGGAAAAGATGAAGCACTGTGACAGTATCTTGAATAAAGCTCCTCGGTGGGCACATAAACCACAGCGTTGTTCGGAGTTTAGGTTTTCGGAGGATTATCAGCCGCTGTCGTTTTGGTTGAAGTCATGGTGTTCGCAAATGTAGAATCGTCTTCGCTCATATATAGCACCAAAATTCCTTTTTGTTCGTGTCACAGGCGAAACTTGCTAAGTATGGCAGGACGAGAGATGACCAAGTCCATCAGGTAGGTAATCTTGATTTCTCCAGTGATTGACCACTGTTTCCGCTATTCAAGTTTGGTCACAACCCCCTCCCAGACTTGCGTATAATTCAGTCTAGCCCAGACGGACACGGTCAACAACCCGAGGCCCCGTCGTTGCAATTATTTAAGCAAGTGCCTTACTTCGGAGACTTTTCCATCGGTTCGTGAGGTTCGTCCGGTCAGTAGTTACGCCGGTGGTTCGTGCTGCACGTATGCAAAGTTTTTGAGTTTCGGCGACTAATACCTCTTATCCCCGGACCCCCTTTCCGCCCCCCGGCCCCCCCGGCCGATATTTCCTTTCTCGACGCCGTTTGTGATGCCCAAGTGCCGCTCCGCATGCTCCACATCAACTTCCGCTGCGGCGACCTTCTCTCCGATGATATGCCATGCAACGAGTACAGCGGAGTTTGAAGATGTGTACCACAGGAGACGGCAGGACGGCGAGCTCTTTCAGCTGCCTCAAGATGAACCCAGAAGAGCAATTCTTATAAACGTCACCGGTATGCCACAGCTCTTCTCTCAAGTTTCACCAATCACTTTCTAACATTCATCATACTCGTAATTCTCAAGACTACATCAACCAAAGATTCCAAGATCGCCCAACATGTCTTCAACTCCCGCTACGCAAGAACCTTGGTCGCTCGCCGGCAAGACAGCCATCGTCACCGGAGCGTCTCGCGGCATCGGACAAGCCATTGCCTTCCACTTAGCCCGCAAAGGCCTCTCCAAGTTGGCAATCACGTACGCCAGCAACTCTGACGCGGCACAAAAGACTCTAGACAAGTGTCGCGAACTCGGGGTAGAAACCGCCATCGCCATCCAAGCAGACGCTCTCGACCCTACCTTTGGTCCCAAAATCGTCTCCCAAACGCTCCAGCAGCTTTCCACCGCCTCCATCGACATCCTCGTCAACAACGCGGTCCTGAGCGACTACTCCAAAGTGCAGCCCATCAAGGACACAACGCTCCCCGTCTTCCTTCAAGTCATGCAGGCCAACGTCTTCGCCCCCGTCTCCCTGACGACCGCCGTAATACCTCACTTGCCCTCCCAGGGCGGCGGACGCGTCATTGCCATCTCGAGCGTGCTGGCGTACCAAGCCAACTCGGACCCCACCATGACGTACGGGGCCAGCAAGGCCGCCCTGCAGAGCTACACGCGCTCTCTCGCCGAGGCGTATGGCAAGACCACCAAGGCGACGTTCAACAGCGTCGTTGTCGGTCTGACGGCGACGGACGCGATCAAGAATAGTCAGGATTTGTTGCCTGCGGGGTATCTCGACGAGCAGATCCGAGACACGACGGCGGCGGACCGGATCGGGGTCCCCGAGGATATCGCGTACGTTGTTGGGTTTCTTGCTAGCGAGGAGGGGCGCTGGGTCAACGGGGGTGCTGTTAGTGCCAACGGAGGCAATCGTCTTGTAATGGCTGCCCTCGGGTAAATGGTTTGTTGGGAAGGTATTCAGACCACGACACTGCTCTGATTTCGATGGAAACCCCTTGTAGAAAGGATCGCATAGAGGAAGTAAATCTTCTCATGAAACCAATGAGCGACATTTGTAATGGCCTCTCACGGGGGCCGGCCCTTGGACAGCAACCTAGGTCTTTTGACCTTCTTATTTCTCACGCGGGAGTAAGACGAGCCGGGTGTTGAAGGTTGGCTAGAAGTCGAGGCTATATAGTATGGCATCGCAAGGCCCGGGCTATCTGTGTTCTGGCTTAACGCTATAAATCATTGGTGGTTTTTGTTTGACTAGGGGGCACAGGCGTTTCGAATAGCTAGCTATTTGGATGCGGATTGATGGCAATATCAATTCGAAATGAGGACTTGCCCTCTCAGCATGGGGGAAAGTGGCGTGATGACATATGTGTTTGCAACTCCTATACTGTAGCGAAGGACGATGATTCGAATGCGGCTGGGTCTTGACTAAGGTAGAGACGAATAACAGCAGATGAGATAAGGACAGAAGATCGGTTGGCTGGACCTGTTTGCCTCGTGCCGGGAGCGAAGGCAGGTACAGCCAGATGTTAGAAGATTCCGTTACTGCCTACTATATGCCCAATATAAAGCCCTCCAACTCCGTTCCTGTGACCAGACAGCAGGCGTCCGTCAGGGTCTACGGGTCAGCTCAAACTGGCTGGGTGGTGGAGTGGCTGAAGGTCAACAATCAAATTACGCCCACAGCCTACTCGACGACAGACTACGAGTTCGAGTTCGATTCCCAGCAAGTACACCAAGAGATGTAGCCACACCGGTGGTGAACTCTTTTTCTTATTTGAACTTTTCACCTTTTGGAACTCGAGATGCTTTATGTGTTATTCGTAGGCACGTACAGAGCGAGCGTCGATGGTGAAATGTTGTCTCCTTCTCAAACCATACTACAGGCTCAATGTGTAGAATCGGGAAAGATCGGTATTTGAAAGAACAGTGGCGGATGAAAGGACGCCTTGAAATTCATAACTTGAGCCTCCATAGGAGTCTCAGTGCGTCGGGGCTCGGAAAAGGGCTTAACACGGCAGTGTGTGATGATATGGGAGCAAGCCCAATGTAAATTTGAGAAATTGTTTTTAATCTGCTGTGCCGCACGCATCTCGTATAACTGTTTTGATCTTATGGGGGTTCAGATCTAGAAACATAGTTTCGAGATAGTCACACTATTTGATGTATTTCTAGCATCCGCACCATATTGAAAACGAAGGTAAGTCACTGTCCACAGTCCTCGGAGCGAACGATAACGGCGAAACACGGCTCCTCAACATTAAGTATGGCACGCCAAATTCAGAGCCTCGAAGACAAATGATTATTCCTAGAGAAATCAAATCAAAAAGCTTGAGTCGCGGTAGCACCTTGAAATATATGGACGGAGAGGCGGAGCTCAGGAAGCAATGCTTCCTTCGTGCATGGATGAAAGGGGGGCCCCCAGCTTGGATGGAGGATCGCGCTTGCAGCGTCTATTCCTCCGCCGGTGCGCGCTTTCATCGCGCTTCGCCTTGCTTGAAGATAGACCGACAACCGGGTCGAAGGGACTCTGCCTGGATTGAAGTGATCCTGTTCAGGCTGCCGACAAAGTCAAGCCTCGAAGGCAGAAGGCCGCTTGATGTCGGGGTCGGACTCGGGGGTTAAGGTTGAGGATCGGGACAGAGACGGAGGGGGTGCGTTATTGGTGGAGAGTGCGCTTACATAACATTGCCATCAAATTGGGTTTCTGGGATGGGGAAATAAAAATAGCAGTCCAAGCCACACCTTGCGGCGCTTCCCGAGTGGGACGTGGCGAAATGAAGCACGTGGCTTGGGGATAGAGGTGTGGCTCATGCACGGCTTACATAATACTAGCACTACTCCGTCAAAGCGAGCATTCGTGGCATACGAAGTAACGAACACATCAGCATTGGAATGAGTGAATGGCAGATGGATTATGGATGCCCGTACCTCGGTGATGACTGACGAACCACTCGGACAATTCGGCAGATCAGGGCAGCTGCCCGGGAAACAAGTAATAATTCCCCGAGTTGAAATCAGGCATGCCGTCAGTATGATTACTCCGTATTCCCGGGCCCGCGGTTCCTCTAGCTGCTCCGTTTGGTCACCAGCTTTCCAATTGGCTTGTTCGTACTCGTTTTTTCCAAGCTCGTTCCTACTTGTTTGAACTTTGGAATAAACCTTCCAGGCAGTGCTAAGGTAAGCTACGAATGCTGTGCGATATTTCCGGTCATGCGTACCCGTAGATTGATGATTATGTACATTGGATCTTTTGGGTGCTGACCGGGTTCCACTCGTGGAAGTCAGATTCGAAGATTCCATCATGTGTCACCTCAATGCCTGCCTTGCCTGCCTTGCCTGCCTTCCAAGCCTTGTTCGACTGACAGCTTCCGTGCGACCTGGCAATTGCCCTTTTCCCATCACGAAGGGGATGGGCAAAAAGACGCTGATCGAGGGACGTTCGGTGATTCGGCACATTGCAAAACACGTTGGGCTGCAGCTGTTGAGGCAATTTCACACCACGAAAGGCAAGGGATCTTCATCTCCCCGTGTCCCCCTCATCTTCAAAAAAGTTCAGTCGAAACGCTTTCCTTGATGGCGGTTGAGCGGTACCGGGAAATTTTTATATGGCTGCCTGATTGATGAACGAGATGCGGTTCCACGCGACCAGTGGAACAGATGGGGAGTCTGGTTTAGGTACCTTGGACCACAAAGAGTCAATTCCCTCCAAGGCCCAATCATATCCGTCGACAAGGTCATGGCGGGGAGTTGGATACCCGAGATGCAAAAGCGATGATTGGCAGCTGTCGGTGGAGGGGGCTGATCGGCGGACTCAAAATGGAGACCCTTGGCAAGAAGCATGGGCAGCAGTATGTATGGAGACGGGACGGGGGGCGAATGTCACCATCGGGACGCCCGAACTAGTCGGGCCACACGGCCGGACACAACCCTTCTGATTCAAGTATTCTCACTTTGTGTAACTTATCAGTGGTTTGCATTTGTGACTGGTTCGCTTCGTTGTCTTGCGCTTTTTGGTGGACATTGGGTGTTGTTCAGACACAGCGCGTGCTTGTCAAAGCCGCGGATCACAGATCTGATGTGACACGGAGGGAGGCCGTGAGGGCACGCATGGGGGGGGATGGGGGCGAAGATCGACTGTCAATCATCTCAGCCGGCAGCTTTTAGCTGAACTGAAGTTTGAAGATTGTGTAAAAAGGGGTCTCTTGGTCTTATTTTACGTTGGTTTGAGGCGGCCCAGTGGTGGCAACAAAAGTGAACACGAACACCAAATGAAAGAGGCAACATGCTGTGCATGCAGGCATGATGTACGGCAATCTTGGCCAGGCAGCGAGCTGTAAAACTCGCATTATTCAAAGAGAGATGTTGATAGCATTGAGGCCAAGATGATAGTATCGTGGAGTTGCACTTGCATGTACCCCGAGGCCGCAGAAGAAATGATCAAAACGCAGTGGGCCTGGGATTCCCAAATACGTACGTACGTACCTCTACCATGAGCTTATAGGGTGTTTTAAGGGCCTGTACCCTGTCTAGACTCTCCCGCATGCCCTCAATGTTCCGACGGTGCCTTGGATGCCCTTGAGGACGGGGGCTCTAGGCATTGGATAAGTATGATATCCAACATCACCTCTCAGTCAGCGTGAGCAAAAGCCGCAATGGAAGTCCACTAGTCCGTCAAGGAATTCCATGATCTGTAGGTCATGGTGGACGCATCTCACGAGATCTGGCAGCCTGTCTTGGTTAGGGTACCTTACCCATAAAGGCGTGCCAAAGTCTGACATGGAAGTCGGCACGCAAACAAGTCACACAGCTAAAGTAAGTTGTTGATGTCAAGTTCAAAGTTTGGATTCTCAGATTCGGATTCGAGAAAGACGGTGTCGGTACGTATCTTGGAGCATCCCTGTACACGCGGATCTTGTACCCTGAACCTTGATCTCCCCCACGACTTTCACCACCTGGGCAGCGACCAGTGACCACAGCCCACGGTCCATGGTCCACAGACTCCGTCACTCCATCCTCGACGTCGTCCCGCCAGGGTTTCTCATCCTTCGAGCATCCCAAGCTGAGCCAAGCCTCCCTCATCCCTCACCCCATTCCATTCCGCCCTTTTTCTTCCCAACCAGCTAAGCTGCTGCACTACTGCTGTCCGCTTTCCGCTCTTTCATCTCACTGTTCGCGAAGCCGAAGTTCAGCTTCCTAGGTAGCTGGCTGGCTGGCTGGCCTTCGCCCTCGTTCTCGGCATCCTTACATGGCCGCATCGGGGTCTCCATCCCGCGTCTTGGAATTTCAATTTCCCATCGCGCCAGAAAGCATCGTCATTTCCTCTCAACTCCTCCAAGACGCCAAAGAGGAAGAGGAACTTTGGCTTGCGTCGTCAAATTACATTTGCTTCCTTCGCTCGCGGCATTTCGTCCGAAGCGGGTACCTGCTGCTGCCAGACATGGAAGCGAGGCGCCGAGGGGCTGTACCATGCTTCTCAGTCCGTTCTCACTTCTGGTTGTTCACAGATACTGCTCTGCTCATTGCTCTGCTCCCAGACGGTCGGTGAACTGGTGCACATTACATAGCCTATCTATCCGTACCTTACCTCAAGTGATCCCTCACGCTCAAAGAAGAATACTCCGTACCTACATCCATACGGCAAGGTCCCCGGCATTCGGGGCCGTGCTGCGCATTAAACGATGAGCTGCCAATGCCATTCTCCGTACTGCTAGTCTAAGATACTTACCCACAGATACGGGTCGCTCTCACACTGGCGTAACTGGGTTTAATTCTGCTGCCTCAGCCGCCCTCCACAGTCTCGGCCTCGCCTCACACCTCGCGCCTCACGCCTCACACTGCACGCCTCTCCTCATCCCGCGCTCTCAAGTCTCACACTCACACTCACACTCACACTCACGCAGCCCCTTTGCCCATCACTCACTGTTCACATCACCTTACACC